TAATGCCGGCTTTCTGTCTTAAGTTTAAAGTCTCAAGCTAAAATTCTGACAATCCTGATGAAATCATCAGGGTTTTGTAAATCGGGTGGAGCCCCTTTAAGACAGCTACAAGTACTGCTTGTTTTAACAGGGTTTTAACACTTGGTGTCCTACTTAATGACATTGTTTTATCTGTTTGTCAACCACAGTGAGCTGAAGCCCGTCCTCCCTGGCAGAGGATGGGTACAGCAGAAGCCACATTACGCATGGACAGCATGGAGGTTAAGGACGAGTGGCAGGATGAGGACTTCCCCAGGTAATCCCCTGTGTGTGTGTGTGCTGTGTCGTGTGGATGTGTAGTGTCCGGTTTGCGTTGTGGTTGTTGTTCAGTTTGTCTGATTTGTGCACAAGCTTTGATAAAATGGCCCAGCTATAATGGGAAATTAGTCACGTGTTTCTGACAGGCGGCAGGTGTGTTCTTTCCTCAATGTAGTCGTTATGTGATGAGGTTGTATCATGTCAGTGAATAAAACAGCAGTTAGTTTAAAGGAAAAAAGAAGAGAAGTCAAGCACATCACAGTGTCCAGCAATGGAAAATAGTTGGCCGCCCACACTCTTTTACTGGCAAGAATCATTTCAGCAGCAGAGGAAAAGTGTTTGTGAAACATTTACAGGGAAAACTGGTTATTCAAGGACATCCAGTATATTCACAACATAATTATATACAGTATATTACACAGAATTATACATGTTTCATATCTATCTGCTTTCATATCATCTTGGTATTTATAAGAGAATATTTTTTTCTTATTTCTGTATGTATAACAATGAATATAGTTGCAGTGTTAAACAGAGAAACACAAGAATGCTTTTACGCTGCAAATTGTTTTTCTCCTCCCCCATTGTTTAATCCACTCTTGAATATCTGTTGCTGCTGTCTTTAACTTACCTCTACAAAGCGGCTGACAACATAATAACAGCAATTATTCCAACAGCTCCATCAGCTAGCCCATACTTGTGGTTGTTTAAGGGTGTGTTTGTCTACGCATGCATGTCTGTGTTAATGTCTGTGGCTTTCTGTCTGTGTACCGTATATTTGTGTGTGTGTGTGTGTGTGTGTGTGTGTGTGTTTGAGTGCTATCTACTATAATCTAGCCTTCTGGTCCCCCAGCGCTGAGGGTTCAGCTGTCTTATTATAATGTCAGAGGGGAGTTGGTAATTACTGGTGTTACTTTCTTAAACAACACATATTGTTTCCAAGGACACACTGTAGTTTAATCACAATAGAGACACTCCAGAGACAAAAGGCTAAGATTGAAAATGCTATGAATGACTGCTCAAACTTTGTTTTTTATTATCAGAGCAATTTATTTGAAATGTCGATGCTTATAACTAGCAATTAGAAAAAGACCAAAATAATAGCAGGATTGTAGAGAGCAGGAAAACTATAGGACAAGAAACTACAATTCCTTTATATGTCATTTCATTTTTCATTTACGCTGTTTCCGTTGTATTTACGCTGTATATTATATGTCTTTCTCTGCAGGCCACTACCAGAGGATGGATATGCTGATTCCTCATGTGGCCTCACTGACAACAGGACCAGTAAGTGGAATAAATACCCACCATTAAATGTATTATTTTACTATAAGCTCTATCTAAACTTTCCTGGCCTGCCTGCTCAGATCCTCCCACCACTCTGAATGTGGGCGAGTCCATGGCCCAGCGTAAGCGTCGTACTTTGGTTGCACCCGACATGAACCTCTCCCTGGATCAGAGCGAGGGATCGGTGCTCTCTGATGACTTCCTGGAAACGCCTGATGACCTGGACATCAACGTAGATGACATCGAGACTCCTGATGAGACTGACTCACTGGAGTTCATCAACAATGGCAACGAGCTGGAGTGGGAAGGTAAGACTGAGGTCAAAATTAAATTGACAGCTTCTTTTAGGGTTCAGGGATGCATGTTGTAAATTATTTGAGAAGCAAATCATATTACCTGCAGTGTCCTTGGTGTGAGCCTCAGACATCAGACGTTATCTCCCTTTTGCTGCCAACTGTCCAATTCAGCAAAAATAAGAAGTGAAAACAAAAACTGAAATCACAGCACTGCAATTGTTTTCTTTAGAGCAGCAACTGAATGTTTTTCACTCTTAAGGAAATATTTTAACTGCTTTGTCTTTCCATTACTGATACTGTACAATGATTCCACTAAAAACAGTCTACAAAAACTCATAAGAAAACACTACTATGAGATATTTTAACCAGGTTATGGAATCCCTTTTTTTTGTCCACAACCTGTAAGTACAGTCTGTGATGATAAATCTGAGAATAATATTGTGGAAGCTGTGCAAACATTCACATTATGTGCCAAGAATCATAGTCAAAGTTGATATTTTTACTTAATATTTCCACAGTGTTGAATTACTGTACTTCGATTCTGACCAGAAATGTATTTGTAGTGTCACAAGCTGTGAATCAAGTTGATCTGACTTCATGTAATTTTAAAAATGTTAGTAGGGAAGAAGGTTAAACTGTCTGACCAACAACTTCTTTGTGTCACCTTGTGTTTAGATGACACTCCCGTGGCCACCGCCAAGCGCATTCCAGGTGAAAGTGAGGAGGAGAGAGACTCATCTGGGCGTCTGTGGCGAACAGTGATCATCGGTGACCAGGAGCAGCGGATTGACATGCAGGTCATCAGACCGTACCTGAGGGTCGTCACACACGGAGGTTAGTAAAAGAGTGTTTGTGTCTGTGTCTGTGTGTGTGTACTTTTACTTAAAAACCTGAGTGAGTTATTGTGGACTTGTGTTAATCCAAAATGGGTTTAAAAGATTAATGGGACAGTTTTAGATCAGAGTTGGTGATTGGTGCTCATTTTTTATGCAAATATTATGAAGTTATGAAGGTGGAAGAACAGAAACATTGCACTCAACCAAAGAGAGCTGTGGTGCAAATCTATATTAAAAATCCAACACAGAGTATGTTTATTGTATAGGGACATACACTCAGTTACCAGTACACCAAGCTGAACTGATGCAGTCTAATACAACGGTCCTGCAATAACTCCTACCCTCATCAAGATTATCATGTTTAGGTTTTGATTAAACTGTTTTAGAGAGCTGTTGATTCAACTTCATGATCATTTTAGAGGACGTAGTTTGTGGTGCTTGAATTGTATCGCACTGTACCAGTGTTCTTACATTGTGTGCCACTTCAGAAAACATTCTGCTCTCCAAGTACCACAATTATAACCAACGTTAAAATACATTAGTGCAGGCCATCCCTAGGAGGCAGGCTTATTCCTTATGAGAAGCTTTTACCTCCACTTACTATCTTGCCATCACATTTTAGCTTGTAACTAATCATGGATGTATATATTGAAACAAAAATATTACAGAAAATGCTAAACTTAAATTAGATTTCTGCAATATCGTAGTTTAATTATTTTCATTCAAAATATTGTGTTTTTAAATTACTTTTATTTTTAAATTAAGAGGCAGGTTGCGTAGCACCAGTGGTAAGACGTAGCATGGTTTAAGAATCAGTGTACTACACTAACATGCAGCTATTATTTAATCTACCCTCACTGATAAAAAATGATATAAACACCTGTCAGTATAACAATATACAATTTAAAAGCACCCCAGAGGTACATATAGCCACTTGATTCACCTGAATTGATTAAAACTCATTGTTGACTGGTTAATGTGACTGTTACAACTGAAGCCTTAGTGCATTTAAATCCCCTGTGCTAACAGAATTAAAATAAAATAGAATTCAAAGTGCATTCAGATTGTTATTGGTGTGTAAACTCCTTGTATTTGAACTTTTAAACAGCTTTTGTCCCAGTTGTTACAAGTTAATGTTTTCACTGGGGTCAGAATAATCTTGAAACAATATTCAGGCCAACAAGCAAAATTAGAACTCATATTCTAATAGTTATGTGGCTCATATGATGCACAGAGAACAAGGTAAAAAAGACAAAACTCAAAAACTCAACAAAAGCAAACATTAAAAAGAAAAGTTGTGAAGCTATTTTAAAAGCAAAAAAATCATACATCAGGAATTGATAAATGCAATGATACATTTTGGCAGTTTTATTTTTTTACCTCAATGATAAAGCAGTCAGTGAAACATAATAACTCTGCCAAGGTAGCTGCATCATACTGACTGCTTGTGGGTCCCTCTCCTCTTTCAGGTTATTATGGTGAGGGTCTGAATGCTATCATCGTGTTTGCAGCCTGCTACCTCCCTGACAGCGGCTGTGAGGACTACACATACATCATGGAGAATCTCTTCCTGTAAGATCCATTCTGGTCTCTTAACAGTAAAATACTGTATAATGGTTTCATGACATTATTCTTTTACTTTTATTCTGTTTTCACTGTGTAATTTGATCAAAGGGCATGACTGGAGAAAAGATTATTAACATTAAATGCTATAAATTTATAAAAATAAAAATAAAAATAAAAATAAGTTAAACAGCACTTATTTTGGATTCAAGAATTTTACTTTGTGAAGCATACGCCGATCAGTCATTACATTATGAGCACTGACAGGTGAAGTTAATAACACTGATTATCTGGTTATCATGGCACCTGGTCAGTGGGTGGGATATAT